CCCTCCCCCCTCTCCCTCCACAGCCCTATTGCAGATTTCCCAGTTACTGATTGCCATGGTAGCCACTGCTAAGTACTTGCATCAAGCCACAGATAAAAGTCTCATGTATTTGTGCACAGGCAACACAGGTTGCATAGGGAACACAGATTTCATAAGTGGTTAAGGAACTGCTCACCTATACAGTACTCACTGCGGGTTATATACGTCAAAAACAACCATTTTTTTATGTATTAATCTTTCGTTACTCCCTGCTAATAATTATCAGTGGCTTCTTTGAAACTTGATGACTTTCTGTCCTCTCTAGGGAATCAGCTTGGTTAGCAAGCGATTTGGGTTGAAGGAAGAGTAGGGGGCTACCCACAGCATTCAAAAGCCAATTCTATCCTCCTTATGCTACATCAATCAATTTTATTAATCTTGCTGGAGGAGCTTGTGATGGCAATTCCTCCTTCCTTGGGAGAAGCACATGCCTCGGTGGAAGTGTGGAGTTGGTAGATGGGGTTCTATAGTTCTGAGAACAATAAGAACTGACGTGGCAGAATTGACGAGTATTTTACTGCACTTATCAAACAGATATAACAATATGCATTCAATGGTATATTTAAAGATCAAAAGGAAGGAAATGAGAGAAGTTCATTGTTAGTTTTACATACACGTATACTCCACTAATATGAATTCTTCTGTGTGCCAATGAAATGCCTGTAGTCACTGGTGAAGACTCCCCTATAGAGCAGTTGGTACATCACACTTGCATTGTGTTCTGTGATTTACAGCTATAGCTAGTATAGTCAGAATTCTTTCTGGAAACTGTGCATGCTTTACCAATTGTCAGCCCTGCGTCTTCTGCTCTCCACTTCACCTACTTCTACAATGACAGCTTGTGTCTCCATATGCATCTAAATACATAGTGCAAGCGTTTCATTTCATCTGGCACTGGAAGTTTCTACAGACATTGAAGTAGCTCTTGCTACATATGAGCAGCTTGTTAAGGGAAACATAGAGGATAGTAAGATGTTCCAATCTTCTCTTCCTCAGGCATTGTGTGACCATTCATTTTTTTGCAAATGGATAGAGGTGTGGAAAGCGTATGGCAGACACCTCTGGTGCCAGCTTATTGGGTTTTTCAATCTGTCTGATCACCACCCTTCCTTACAAGCCTCTGGCAGTACTGTCTGCTGATGCCCTGCAGACTTTTTGTTTATGGGCACTGTCCCATACTGATAGTTGAACAGCCATCTCATGTGTTTTCATGGCTCCCTGCGTCTTGCCAGCAAGATACAGAGCAGGTGAAACTGCATAGGATGCTGAAGTCACTAGTAACTGTGCTGTAAACAGTTAGGTGATCAGTAGATTTGTCCCAATACGTGTGTAGCGCAACATCACGTATTTGCTTGTTTGTGGATGTGTTGCGCAAAGGGCAGCCCATTTATTTCAGTGTGGCAAAGAAGCTCATGCACCTTTTTGCTTTCTATTTTCCCTGTTCACATTATAACAATGCATTGTGTAAAAATGCAGCATGTCTGCATTTTATGTAGTGTAACACACTGCACCGCATATCACTGCACTGCAGCACGGCATAAAGTTGAATGAAATGTCATTTAGTGACGCTTTAATAAGATTTTTAAAAAAGTAAACCGTATGGTGTGTTGTAACAACGCATCGCACCACCCCTATGCAACACACAAGCACGTTCCCGTTATATGGAGCATAACCCTGCAGGGGGGTGTGAGCATGCTCTAGATGCTGGGAGTTGTTTTATGTTACAGTTTGGGGCTTCATTGATACATATTGCTATGTCCAGTGACTGGGAAGAGGTTTCTGTGATAGGATGATGGTCAAGATTGACAGCAGTCTGTACACTGTAGATCTGTCTAGTTTAAAACTGGACTTTGTGCAAAAGCTGGAATCTTACGGAACGTGGCATTTTTTTCACATTTATTTTTCTAAAGTAAACCGTTTGAAAGTGCAACTGAAGCCGATTTTTTTTTTTTTTTAGTCTTGGATAGTGTGGAGAGGAATTAGAGCACCTGTAATGTTTTTATTGCGGTGTCCCCATTAGGAGGATTCACACCTAGGCATATCGAATATGCGTGTTTCGTGACTCGCGTTTTTACCGCGATTTGCTGTAAAAAAAAACGTGCATTTCCGAGGGCTACTTGGCTGTATCCCAATGGAAACGCGTGACAAAAACGTCCCAAAGAAGCTCCTGTACTTCTTTGGGCGTAGGACGTTTTGTAGCGCGTTCATACAGCCTGTAATACGCCCAGGTGTGAACCATACCCATAGGAAATAATGGGATTTCGGTTTGAGCGTTTTGCAGAGCGTTCGAACGCGCTACAAAACACGCAGGTGTGAACCAGGCCTTACTATTTGTCCTGGTGATCACTGTCAGTGAAAGTGAGAGAAAATCCCAATTATTGGGTGATCACCAGAACAGGCATAGATGGAAAATCTTCCTATGGGGACACTAGTTCTGGAGGCCCTGCTGACCAGAAATTTCCCTCTGTTTGTTTGGAGGGATTTCATATTGTGGCGATCAGACAGGAAATGAAGGAAAATCTCCTCAATGGGACATAGATGACAAAAAAAAAGCTGACCTGAGTTATAAATAGGGATGCACCGATACCAAGTACAGTACTCGGTACAAGTACAAGTCCAGATACTTTTCGAGCTCCAAGACTAGACTAGAGATGAATCCAAAAGTTAGGAGGCAGCTGTCATTTGTAAGGAGCACACGGAGCTCCTGGGATTTGTACATCTCTGTTTTAATGTATGATTTGTTTTTATAAATGTAAATAAAGTACTTGTAAGTACCGGTACTTGCCAAGTACTTACAAGTCCGAGTACTGATACATTTTGTTTATTTTCATGTGACAGTTTTTCTAAAACAATATCGACTGATTTCAGGACAGTGGTGGAGTGCCAGAGCCAGGTCCCCGCTGCAACCCTGGTAGTTCTCATGAAAATGCCAAGTATCTGCACTGATACTCGAAAAGTATCTGTGCATCCCTAGTGATAAACAGCTGCTGATCCCCTCGTGTCTCTTTCAGCCAAGTCATGTCTACATGGATTTGCTCCAGGAACTGCTTCACATCAGTATCTCAGGACGGGTTTCGTAAGGGTGACAACAGAGGACCATGTCTGAGTAATGTACATTAGCATGGCAAACTTGTGGTCTCTATTAGGAGATCATATAAATGGCTGACAAGGCAGTAAAACAGTTGGACAGGGGCAGAGCATTGTCATCCTGTAACAGGTAGTGTCTGTACAAGGACCATGGCCTGAGCACTTGGTATTATTTTAATGAAAGCAGCAGATTTAACAATATTTTAAATGACTTTTAAAATAATTTTAGCATTTTATAGCCTATATGAGATTTTAGCAATCCGGTTTAGGACAATATGCATGAATTGATCCTGTGCTTATTCTTGTGTGCAGTAACACTTGCATTCTGTTTTATTACTATGTGTTACTGCACTTCAAGAGGAACTTTACCCTTATCTTTAAAATGACAATGAATACTAATGGCAATCTACAAACACATACTTCTAGATAATTGCCGGCTTTGTATTCTTTGCACACTTTCTTCTTTTCCCCATAAGGGCAGATTAATTCATCTCCCTTTATTTCCTGGAACTCTGGCACATGTGACCACATACACCTTACAATTTATCTGCAGATTTTCTGTGGTCAGATGGAAAAGGGGCAAAAGATTCCTCCATCTACACTTAACTGTGTGGATGGAGTAATCTCCACCTGGGCCAATCCGTTGCACTTTTTCCATCTGACCACAGACAATCTGCAGATAATTGTAAGGTGTATGGGCACCTTTTAGGCTACATTACTAATGCGTAAGTGGACCAGGAAGTGGAAAAACAATAATTGTAAGTAAAAGCAAAAAATATTTCTTTAATGAATATAAGATGATTTCATATCCGAATACAGAGCTGCATACTGATGTGATTTTTAGTGATCGGGGGTAAAGGTCCGCTTTAAAGGATACCTTGTATTGAGAAAAAAGTACACAGGCTGCTTTTGAAAATTCAATTTGCCTGTCTATCTTTTTCTTCAGTCATTTCTGTGTGCATGCAGCAAGTAAATATGGCAGCCAGGAAGCTAGCATTGTAGGAGGTGAGATCAGCAGTTCTGCTTATATATTTCTCACAAGATGGAGGTCTATCACCTTTTATGGAATAAGGGCAAAGGACTGTATATTCTTTTTTTGGAAGCTATATAGACCTTAATTTCATTAAAGAGTAAAAATAAAAACGACTGAAAGGTAATAAAAACAAAGTTCAAAGACCCAAAATCCTTTTTCTGTTGAAGTGCCAGGAATGTCACTTTAAAGCTGGCCATGCACTGGTAGATTTTCATATGAAAAGTCTGGTCAGAACATTGGATAATGCCATTAGAGACTTGAATGTTGTTTGATTTTCCAAATTTCATTTGAGTTTTGGACTGAGTGGAGGTTCCCAGAATGAAAACCACATTCACTGTTACAAACAATTTTCCATTCCACTTTGATTTATTTCAGCATTACGGTTGAAGTTGACAGTTGATTTGACCCCATTAACTATTACACAATCCAATGAAAGTTCCAAGCTCTTTTTTTTCTAACACAATTGTACGGGTGTAGGGCCAGTTTCAGTTACTTAGTCAATATGCAGTGCATGTCACGGTTCTCATAAAGACCAGTTTTGTTTTTTGAAGTGTTTTAGAGGCAGTCACGTTTTTTTTCGCCTTTGATGTCCGTAAGGTATTCCTTCTGTCTCTGAAGCTGTATCAAGCGAGGAAGACAGAGAAACGACACAGTATTAATTCAGATCGTCACAAGGACAAAGTGAATGTGAAGTCCGAATCCAAAAAAAAAGATTTTATTTTGTGAATTCAAGATGAACCACTAATCTTTTGTGCCTTATTGTGCATGTAAGCTTTTAAAAATACCAAAGTGTCATTCAAATGCTTTTGAAATATACAATAATGTGATTTTTTTTTTGTTGTCGTTCTTGTTTATATTTTTATTGTATTGTATCATTATAAAAAAAAATAGTGTTTATTTTGATGGATGTGAGTTTCATTCATGCAAAAATATGTTCGGTTTCATTTAACAAGCCACTATTATAAGAGGAACGTGGAGGCGGCTTTTTCTGAATTCTTTGTAAGGTCTTGTTGCCTGGCTATCCTTGCTTTTAATACACAGAGTCCGTGACACAGGACAAGTATGCAAATAAGGACTTCTGGCTTCTCTGTGACTTGATCTGTTTACTTGTTTCAGGAACACCCAGCATTTTCCAGTATTACAGTGCGGAATCCTTTTCTGGGATGAAATTGCAAGAACTGTGTCAGCCCTAGCTAGCTTTTTCTGTTAGCTACTTGAGTACTAGCCTGTATATACCCCTTCTATTACTAGGCCATTTTTCAGTGATGTAATAAAACTGACAATTATTCTGTCATACAACACTGAACCAAAATAAATATATTTTATATCATTTGTGGAGACAGAGCTTTTGGTATTAACCATTTTTTTGTGTATATAAAGTAAAAGACATTTAAAAAGAGATCTATATATATATCTATATATATATATCTTTATATATAT